TAGGAACATTCATAATATTGGCGATCATAATAACAATAATATAGACCAAAATAAAAACTGACCAGTACACTTGGGACGATCGGGAGACTCCAAATTTAATAGATAACTTGTATGTAATGGGATGTCATGCTCACAAAGGAGTTGAGGTAGACGGACTTGAATTAGCTAGATACGTTGTGCTAATGAAAACATTAAGGTGTTCACTCGATTTATTACAATGGGAGGAACGTGGTACGTCGCAGCTATAGAGATAAAAGTACTCAGCCCTTGGTGTGTTTCGACAGATGATGAGAGCAAGTTACTTTTGTTCAAATGCCAAGGTTTGAGAAGTATGAACACATAAAAAAGATGTAAATTAACAAGGATATTTAAAAATTCACCCTGTATAATCCGTAGTATCTCTCAGATAAATTGGGCTGTTTGGGTCTAAGGCCAGTATGAAGGACTGCGGTCCTCATTTCCATAAGGGTTGATAGGTTGTTGCCTTAGATTGGACTTAAGCTCGCTATGGTGCGCACCCGTTTGCCCAGCTTGGTGATTCAACTGTGCCTCTTTTTGTTTGCGCCTCCATAGCCGTCGTTCGCGGCGTCTTTGTTGTCGGCGTTCTTCTGTGCTTTGGAGATCTGTTGCCGCCCTCATGTTTGGGTTGTACCATTGCGCTGCCTGAGGACTACTTAACCATTGAGTATACCTCAGTCGGTCATTAAGCACTTCATCTGGTCTTCTACCATTTCCAGCGTTTCCCTCGCTCCTGGAATAAGGCTGAGCACCTTCAGAACGGTGATTTTCATTTTGAATGCTGTGTGTCGTCAGCGTCGATGATGGACGATTCGTTTCGGGAGCGAATACGGGATTTGCTGTGTGAGGGATCGAACCCTTCCGTTTACCAGGTTCATTTGGTCTCGGGTGTTTCTCCCGTTGCCTGCTAAATGTATGAGTTGAACTCGTGGTTTTACGTTCGAGGTTAACTTCCGATCCCGTAGGAGCGGCAGATTTCTTCGCACCTGACTGCCGGTCACCGCTAAATAAACTACGTGAATTCATCTGTGAGGGTGCATCAGCAAGTTCTGAGGGTGCGGATCGCGAGATCTTCAAGTTACGCGCTTCGGCTGCAGTTACTATAGGATCAGTGATGACTGACTGTTGCTTTGGACACAAGTGCGATACAGGTTGCGTGCGAATAGCAGCAAGAGATCGTCGAAATTCCGCAGAATCTCGATCCCAATTGACCATAAATGTTACCTAGATGATGATGGATGGTAAAAACAGGTTATTATCTGGATTC